TTCTCGGACATGTTATGGTAACCTATTCTTCCAGAAAAGAGAGCAGAATTGGCGTCTGTTTTCCGGAATGGGAAGTATTTTCGTTTGCGACGGTTGCTCCCCTCCTAAGAATGACATCGAATGGATGATTGAAAAGAGCGGAGGAGCGGTTTGTTACGAACTCTGTCTGCGTACAATTGCGTTTATCGAGCCATTGTCCAGGTTGGATCAACAGTGTCAATATTCAGGTAACAAATGATCCATGCGAATGTGCTGTGGTTGTAGCCCCTTCCGATCACACCCTGGAAATACTTTGCTCATCGGATCTGGAGCTTCCTCCGCCCGTGGTTGTGGAGAAGTACATTCTAGGTAAGTTATTCTGGCAGGCCTCAACATACCGAGTTGTGAGACATCTTTGTCGATTCCTTTTCAGACTGCATCAGTGAAAACACGCTACTTGACCTCGAAGACTATATGGAACATGATGTCGTCAAGGAAAAATGCTAAATTTTTGTATTCCGTTTTTTTTTTTGTTTTTATTTAAGGATATTGATGACGAAGATTCCAAAAAGTATGTTCCGAGACGCTTAGCTCATGCTTCATGTGGTGGTGACAGACAAGCAAACGTTACATTTATACACGCTCAACTTGTGCTTCGAATGTGGCGAGATGGCTAATCAATGCTTCTGTGTCGAACAGGCTTTTAATGGTGGGCATTGATCATGCCTGGCGTTCCGACCTATTCGTTATCGTTATCAAAAGTCTGAAAGCATTTCGGAACTTCAGTTACCTATCACGCTCGACGGAGACCAACTCCTGACTGATAGTCACTCTGACCTGACCGATGATCTTCTAACTGAATAAAACATTTAACAAGTCTTGTCAGTCCACTGTTCTTCCAATACCAGTCGGATCGCCCGGCTAACGCCGGGCTCTCCTCCTTCTTTGTTGAAGTTGATCCGCTGCCATACATCCTCGCACTCCTATGCCTCAGCGGGCAGAAACCACTTCAGTTATCTTCTACTACCTACCATCGGTGTCTTAAATGTGCCGCCTGCACTCGTTCAAAATTCGAGAGCCCGAGTCAAAATTAGCAATTTTTGCGTACGTCCAGCCTCCTGTGGGCGGAGTCGAGTCGTCCACTTTCACCATCTCCATTCCCAACTGCCTCAGGTCCAAACTGACATGGACATGGACATGGTTATGAATTTTCGCTCCGCTCCGCTCTCTGTGTGCGGTGTCCGGTCCTGCTACCAACCCGAATTCAAACGCTAGATCCACAGGGAGAGACGTTAAGAATTTTCGCTCAAACCCCGTCCAGTGTGGACGGAGTCCGGTACTGCTAACTACCACAAGTGTTTCAATCCTGCCGCCAGAATTCCTACTAAATTTGAACGCGCTCTACGTGCACGGGGACAAGAGTTATGAATTTCCGCCCAAACATTTCGCGCACCCCGTCCCCTGTGGATGGAGTTCGGTCCTGCCACCCTCCATGAGTGTGCCTAGCCTGCCGCCTGTACTTCTACCAAATTCGAACGCTTTCGGTTTAAGGGGACAGTCGTCATGAATTTCCGGTCACACAATCACCAATAGATACACTCAGCCGATTATGTAAGTAGGATATCAAGCATCACATGTCAAATATTTAAGCTGGTAAAGCACACCCCTCTGTGCACAGATTATTATTTTCCATTCAGGCAGATTACGCAATTATCCATGCTGCAAATCCGTTATGGTGTTTCAAACGGTCTGAACGACATAGCTCGCAGTAATCAATCATCATGCCTGAAACAACAGAAAAATCTTTGAAAATCATAAGTTTCGTCTGAAGCTGGATTCTCAGAGTTTGAGACCATCGTTCTCATTACGTAAACAATCCGCTTGCGATTCGTAAAATTATGTGTGGTTTGCAAAGATTCAGAGACCAACTATGAGCGGAAACACGCTACTACCAGTAACAGGTAGTTAAATGGTTACAGCGTACTATGTATTCCAACGCCCACGGTCGTTTTATAGAGATTCCCATCCCATCCTGGGAGCAGGTATTAGAGTGTCCGGAAAATTTTGAGAAAAATCAGTAGGGTTTTTCAACACGGAATGACTACAGCAATAAACTTACATCAGCGCTCAAGATAGTGGCTCTTCCTAGTCACAATGTCTCTCCATCAACCAGACAAGGCAATGATGCCACTCCTTCAAAATACGCAATACATTCATTTACAGCCTACTTTACTTTCTTACGACTGCTGAGTTTCTTCCCTTTAAAGCAAGCCCATGGGCTGCTGAAAGTATGGCAGTTCTACAGTGCGTTCCAAAAGTATGTGCACACCCAACATTTTATTTTTTTGGGAATACCTTTGATTTCTGTAACTCGTGACCTTCACCATTCAATTCCTTGCGTTCGATAACCTACGAATACTTTCTCTGAGAAAACATCGTAGTTGCCAACACAATTTTTATTAAAGAAAAATTTCTCCTTTGTTTCAAAAGTGTGCACACTTGGCAAAAAACAAAATCATAACCGAGAACAGAATCTAATAGGGCCTCTTGAATTCCTATAAAGGTCATCGACTACGAGGAGTCGTTTGAGAATGGTTTCGTTATGATAGGTTCTTTAGTTAAATTTAAATGAAAAATTTTGAGTGTGCACATACTTTTGGATCGGCAACTGCGCTGCTATTTTTCATGCATTGCTAGATCCTTTCAAGACCCTAGCAGCTATCGCTCACAACCTATTCCTGGTCGTCCACGCATTTTGACTGCTCAGGACAAGAGGAGAGTAGCCCGTCTTGTAGCGAATACTTCTTTGTCCGTGGGTCAGGTCGAGCTCAGATGGGTTTATCAGTTTCGCGTACGACCGTTTGACGCTCTGTCCGCTCTAATGAGTATATCACACGAGAGACGATGAAAAAGGCTACTCGTTTCAGTACTCGCCACAAGCTGTCAAGGCTGGAGTTTGCTCGTGGGAACATGGCAACACCATGGATTGAGGTGCGGTTCGAAAATTTTTAGGATTTTCCTATTTCTGGAACAGACAACGTGTTGTACCCATTTTGTTTTCAAGTGATTTTCTCTGATGAAAAGAAGTTCAATCTCGATGGGCCGGATGGATTTTGTCTTTAGTGGAGGGACCTTAGTCGAAAGCCACTCGTGTTTTCGAGAAGGAATTTCGGAGGAAGCTCTTTGATTGTCTGGGCGAGCGAACCCCAGCCCAGTCAGCTTGTGGCGAGTATTGAATCGAGATGCCTTCTTCATCGTCTCTCGTGTGATATCCTCGTTAAAGCGGNACAACGTGTTGTACCCATTTTGTTTTCAAGTGATTTTCTCTGATGAAAAGAAGTTCAATCTCGATGGGCCGGATGGATTTTGTCTTTAGTGGAGGGACCTTAGTCGAAAGCCACTCGTGTTTTCGAGAAGGAATTTCGGAGGAAGCTCTTTGATTGTCTGGGCGAGCGAACCCCAGCCCAGTCAGCTTGTGGCGAGTATTGAATCGAGATGCCTTCTTCATCGTCTCTCGTGTGATATACTCGTTAAAGCGGATAGAGCGCCGAACGGGTGTAAGGAGACTGATAAACCCATCTGAGCTCGGATCTGACTCTTAAACAAAGAAGTATTCGCCACGAGACTGGCTAATCTCCTGTTGTCCTGAGCAGTCAAAATACGTGGACGGCCAGGAATAGGTTGTGAGCGATAGCTGCCAGGGTCTTGAATGAATCTAGCAATGCATGAAAAATAGCGGTCAGTTGCCGACTCAAAATTTTCATTCCAAACTTAACTAAAGAACCTACCGTAACGGAACCATTCTCAAACGACTCCTCGTAGTCGATGACCTTTATAGGAATTTAAGGGGCCCTATTGGTTTCTGTTCTTGGTGATACTTTTGTTTTTTGCCAAGTGTGCACATACTTTTGAAGCAAAGAAAAATTTTTCTTTAATTAAAAATTGTGTTGGTAACTACGATGTTTTCTCAGAAAAAGTATTCGTTGGTTATCGATCACAGGGAATTGAATGGTGAAGCTCACAGGTTACATGAAGCAATGGTACTCCCAAAAAAACAAAATGTTGTGTGTGCGCATACTTTTGAAACGCACTGTAGTATAGAGAATTTCCCATTCCTCAAATCCTTTCTCTATTCCTAGTTATTCTTGAATGTGTGTTAATCCTTATCTGTCAATGAATCACTCGTTTGAATTCTTTCAAGCTCTGACAAATGTTGATGTTCAATACTTATAGGAATGTTGTGAGAACTAGAATTCTGTATGTATAAAAGCCGCTGCTCCTGTAGAAGGGGCAGGAGGTGAATCTAGTCGGAACGTATCCTTTGTACCGGACTATCGATGAATAAAGGATTAGCGGAGAAATAGTCCGTATATGGTGCATCGGATCCAACAGACGAAAATCGAGCCGTCCGAAGCAACCGCTGCAAAGAACTACTGAAGCAGTGGAAAAGAACTTCAAGAAGTATAGCGATCATATGCCTCTTAACAGCACTAATCTACACACTCTGTTACGTTCCACTTGTCATCGGGAAACCATGCCGATTATTAGCCAAATAGTGATCGGTATGTTCAGACTTGCTCTTCACGCAATGAGAATGATTTACTGAGCAGTGAGAGAAAGAAACCAGCGTCAAAAAGGGATTTTGAAGCGTTACTGCAGGCACCTCTGATAGCTACGATTCTCTTCTAACCATGAGCTCGGCAATAGCATGCAAAGATGTGGATATCTATACGTTGAAGACGAGAGTGTGTTTGGAAGGAAAGGTCCAAAAATGGTGCGTGGACACGACAAATGTGATCGAGTTGAATACGTTCAATCAGGAAGCATGCTTACGGGTAACGGGAAATGGAACAACTCTTCCTCAGTATCGACTCACGTGGAAAGGCCTCACCATGGAATGTGAAAAAGAAACGTCGGTTTTCACGAGAAACACCATACCAAACGTGGTAGACGCGAAACGGTGCGCACATTCGGGAGGCTGTACAGACGAAAATGTGAAAAGGTCAACGAAGCAACGAAACTCCCGGAACTGAAACAAGGAAACGCATTTCCAGGAATCACGAGATGCGTAGAGTTGCGGAGAACCAGGATGTGACTGTTTTTGTCTCGGCAGCGGATGTCTCTTCTATAGAATATTCAAAAAACCCGATGACGACGAGATTTTGAAATATTCAGGTGCCGATTGTGGAAAGAAACTGTGGCGTTAGAAGTACGAGTCGACAACAGCGAAGGAGAACCGCAATAGTAAATTGTTTAACCTTCAACCAATACTCCCAGCAACTGACGGATCTGTAAGGGACGTGAGCATTGTAAGGGACGTGAGCATATGATGAGGACTCTGTGGATGTTCCCCTTATGACTCAGCTTCTAGTTTAGGGCGTGGCTTAGCGACGACGAGGAAGCCTGAGCAGTCTACCGGCTAAGGAACCGAGTGCTGCAGCTAAGGTCCGTTTCTCCATCTGGGGCGAATCCTTGTTTTATCCAGAAGAGATACAATACCTGTGTACCGGTCATCAGTCTCTTTCGTGTTATGTCCATCTTGTTATCTTTGTTGCTTCTCTTATTGGCTCATGTTATATTTGTGTTATAAAGATAAACTCTTATTACTTAAAAGGCGTTAGGACAAGGTGACCTCAACGTTCGCACCTTCCGCTGGGCGCGCTCGCTTACTGGTAGCAGCGAGTGGTCCACCCCTTGCTTGGGATAGAACAGGGTCAGGGTAAATATTCTCCACGTTTTGATAGTTTGAGCCTTTCCGAGTCTGCCATTTGTTAGGTTTCTTCTGGTTGCTTGCGTTGAAGAGGTTTTTTCCCGCCCTCTCCGGTTGACTTTGGGTAGAGAATACCGTAACATCGTGCAAGTGTTGAAAGCCGTTCCCATCAGCCGTTCTTTTTTGAAGGGAGTTTGTAAAGTTCATCTTGCGCAGCTGGCCTGAGAACTGCCGCCGACACGTCAACAACTTTCCAGAAGCGGTCAAAAGGAAAACGGTATTCTTTGTCCACTCGAAAATTCGAATCGCGCGTGCCCTTGACTAGGGTCTAAACAGTCGTTTGAGCTCAAAGTGAAGTTCCGGGCCCGAGGGTTGTGCAAGTGAAGTTGAAAAGTAGAGTCCGTCCCGCCACAGTTGTTTCGAGATGCTATGAGTTCAGGTCGTTGCGTGGGGTGCACTCAAGTGGACAGTAGTAGTGGTAGTTGGTGTTGTTGTCGCCACCGAAGTGTCTACTGTCGAAGTGATGCGGTATCGAAGTGTTTTGAGGCCTCCTAAGTTGATGTGTTGTTCGGGACGTTAAAAGCCGTGATGTTAAGTTTAATTCATGGTGTGAAGTTTTGCGGCGTTAATGGTCCACAAGTGAGCTCAGGTAGTAGTTTTGAACAGGTATACCTTGTAAAGGAAAAAAAGAGAAAAAAAAAACAAAATAACGACAAAGACCAGAAACAAAAATTAATGATTAACAAACCGTGGTTAGGTCCATTACATGTATAATGTTTTATTTACTTCTTCGGCCGGTTGGCCGCCCATCGAGAACAGTCCGCACAGTGAATACTTTTTGTTCTTTATACCCTCTTATGCTCAAGTTCCAGTACTTTCAGCCTAGTTAGCTGATTGCGAGCGTCCTTCTTGGGAAGTAGCCCTTATTTTAGTCACATATTGCCCCCACTGTGTAGTCCTATTGTTCGCGAACTTGAGTTAGTCGATCAGTTGTGTTCATGACTATCATCTTCCAGGCGATACCCTGAGGAGCGGCAGAGCGAGCATAATAAAGGCTCGCCGCTCTTTGTGCGCGCCTGGCGCATCCAAAGCAGAGCGCCTATTAGTACTTGAGTGCGAAGGGTGGAATCCTTACTTCGATATAGGGTCGATTTTGAGCACTTTTTATTCTTTAGGAAGCCGCTCAATCGCACGTTCATCGCTTTACATGGTTCGAAGCCTTTATATGCTTTGAACTTTTATTACTCCACAAAATTCTACCATTTTCCATATTCTTTCAGTGCTTTCCTTTGGGTAGAATAGTTAATCTTTGTCGCGTGACTCACTGGTGATTTGCATGATCATGTTATCGTTCAGTACGCCCTAGCATAAGTTGTTTTCATGACATTTCATTCCTGCCATACATTCTCATGCCATTAAGATTTGTTATTCCTCGAGAGCTCGCACTCCTGTCTCACTTCCGATCTATCAACAGATAGCATATCTATCGCATAACATTCTCAGCTCATCTGCTTCTTAAATCGGCAACATTACAATCACGAACTTTCTGATTCCCATATCATCCTTCCTGAACGAATGCACTCTGCAAAATTTCCAATGCAATAGCCACGGTATGCAACACTGTAAACAGGAAGCAGTAGCAGAGTTAACTTGTACAAGCAATGCAGAGCACGGTACGATGTGAAGAGCACCAGTTTTCAACGCCATGCACAGAGAAAGGAGAGAAATCCGAAATCAGGCTCAGCTTTACAGTCGCAAGAGTAAAACTGGGATGCACGGTATCGTGTGGCTCCACGACAACAGAGTTCGAAGTTGCAGGAATCCTAAATTGGGTCAGAACCATTCGAGAGTCAATGCGACGCATCGCAAAAGGAGAGACTACAGTGGAAGAAGAAATAGTGCTTCCTGACTTTGGACACATACTAGATACTATCATATCCAGTTACAGAACCGTCATGCTCACCGTCGCAGGGTTTGTGATGGCCCTTGTGCTAGGATACATCTTCCTATGGGCGTGTGGATTACGAATAATGATATCGCCTTTACGTTTCGCGTTCGAATTACTACTCGGTACCGCCATCGTACCGTTCCAAATCGCCAACAGAATCTTCAGAGAAGCGCTACGCCGGCGACAAAAATCTTGTCATAATTGGAACGCTCATATCAAACAACTCAAATTCCGACCATACTATTCCTGAGCTTCTGAGATTCAAACGTCCGACAAATAATGACATACATGAAATCAAACTAAGCATAGAGCCAAGGCATCGCAACAAAGAAACAACGAAGATAAAGACCACGAGAGAGACAGCCTCTCAGAACCTATGATATTTCATATCATTATCGCCGACTCCATCGCAGCTTCACAAGACAGGATCATGGTATTTCTCAGCACTATCTACGACACCATCTCAGCTTGACTCCCACGTGTAAGGGTTCCGTATAAAAGCACGATGCGCAGGACTGAGCTGTCATTCAACTCTCGTGATCGTCTTTCACCGTCAGCACATGCCGTCAGGAGAAGAATCGACTCCCAACGCGAGGAAGGAAGAAGTCCAAAAGAAAATGGCAGCAAAGAATCAAGATGAAAAAGCAAAACCGAAGAAGCGCAGCAGCAAGTCTATTGAGTCGACTTCAGCAGCGAAACGAACTCGTGAAGACGGGTGGAACCCCTTCCAGCTCCAGCTACGATCTCTGGAAGGACTTCTACGAGCGAGAAACCCAGAAGAAGATCACCGTGTTGGAAAAACAAGAAGCGAACACTCGGGACAACCACCTGCAGAAGATCGATACTCGTATGGAAAGCTTGAGAAGAGCCTACCGGATCATCACGAATCCGTCAAACAGACTGTAGCCCCGGCGAATCTGGTCATCAAATCAGAGCACGTGGACGAACTGCTCAAGCAATTCATGACATGAGTTCAACCGAGATGCAGTTCAGCAACGCCGTGATGCACGAAGTCAGAGAAGTGTCGACACGTCTAGC